CACAAAAGCAAGTACTGGGAAAGCATATACGAGGACTCGATGAATTTGATTGCCAAACTGCCGGTGGTTGCCGCCACCATTTACCGCAACATCTACAAGGGCGGCAAGGGTTTGGGCTCCGTTGACGCTGGTCGGGACTGGTCCTGGAATTTCGCTAACATGCTCGGTTATGACAATCTGCAATTTATCGAACTGATGCGTCTCTATTTGACAATCCATTCGGATCATGAAGGTGGTAATGTGTCCGCTCACACCACTCACTTAGTGGGATCCGCCTTATCAGATCCGTACCTATCCTTCTCCGCCGGTATGAATGGTCTTGCCGGACCACTGCACGGTTTGGCCAATCAGGAAGTGCTGGTATGGCTGGAGAAGTTGCGTGATCAGGTTGGCGACAGTCCTAGCGATGACAAACTCAAGGAGTTCATCTGGAATACACTGAAGAGTGGCCAGGTCGTGCCCGGCTACGGACATGCTGTTCTTAGGAAAACCGATCCGAGGTATACCTGCCAGAGGGAGTTCGCGTTGAAACATTTGCCAGACGATCCGTTGTTCAAGGTAAATCTTATCGCGCATCTTATTACAATGTTTTAAGTATAGTAGAAAGTATAGTAGAAAGATTTTATTCTGCTTTAAATAAAAAAAGAAAATAACCGAATTCATTAATCCATCTCTTTAAATATTTAAGAATATTGCCATAAAGATTGAGAAAATTAACTTCGGAATATTCAATTTTTTTCAACATTGCATTTTTATTTGCATACATTGAGAAAAAAATTATTATAACTTACTAACTAAATGCATTTAGTTCGCAGTGATTTTTAGTAAATGAGAATAAATTGAAATGAATTAAAAATTCCAATTCATTTTAATTTATCCGAGTTCGCGCTTTAGAGGCCGGAGTTGGATTGAAATGAATTGAAATGAATTGATTGAGGGCATAAATTTGTTTCTATTTATGAAATGGATAGAAAAGAAAACAATGACTTGAAAATAAATCTTTCTATAAATATTTTTTTGATTTTACAATAAATTTATAATTCCTTTTTTATATAAATAGAACAGTATTTTTATATCCATTTCGATTGAAACAGGAACATTTCTATTCAATATTGTATTCTGATATGAATTCAGGATATGGCATATATATTTCCTATTTTAAATTGTGATGTATTCACAGTTTACAAATTATATATATATAGATATATATTGAAATTTTTTTTAATTGAAGTGAATTCAAACGAGACTGTTCTTATTCATAATTTTGAATTGGGATGTATTTATTATTTAAGGTTATTTATTTAAGGTTATTTACGACATAAGTATTTTTTTTACTCGGATAGGCATGAAATGAGCTATTCATCACGTTGAATTGGATGGTTCATGTCCATATTAGACTATTTTTTAATTGAAATAAATTAAAATACAAAAAACTATTCATCATGTTGAACTCAGATATATTCATGGATTCGAGAAATCGGAAACATCGAAATAAATTCATATTTTTATCCATTTCAATTTATTCTCATTTAATGGTCAAATATTTAAATTAAATATACAATACAATGTTAATTGTTTGAATTAATAAATATTTGTTTAAAATTAACAAATATTTGCTTGACAGCCCGTGTCCGTTACATTTAATTGAATAAATTCACATTTTTTTTAATCAGTAACTTTTTTTCTCAATGTACAGTCACACTCTATTCGGAATTCAATTAGCATGATTCTGATTTAATTCCAAGTTAATAATTTGTATTAAATTTTGATATTAATATCAATGTTGTTATTTTCTTCTTTACAGCTTGTCGCACAAGTGTACAAGGTAGTTCCGCCAATTTTGTTGGAGACTGGCAAGGTGAAGAACCCGTGGCCGAATGTGGACGCGCATTCGGGTGTGCTGTTGCAATACTATGGCATGAAGGAGATGAACTACTACACGGTTCTGTTCGGTGTGTCGCGCGCGTTGGGCGTGCTCGCTTCTCTCGTTTGGGACCGTGCCTTAGGACTGCCCATCGAGAGGCCTAAATCCCTCAGCACTGATCTCCTTATAAAGGCTGTCAAGGCTTAAAAACCGTTTCTCACTGGATCGACGATCGACCAGCATCACCTCGGAGTCTCGTCGTCTCCTGATCTCGATTTTGTTCGAGCGTCAACCGCGGCGCCGGGAACTTTGATAGAATATCATTTTGATATCAACCTCGACGGAGAGCCCGCACACATCAACGAGCCCGCGCCTTATTGAACAAATAATAGTGTGATTGGGAGAGAGCGAGAGAACGAGAGAATGAAGAAGAATGAAAGAGACACAAGGCTAGGTATTAAACACGACAAATAATTACGTCTAATGTATTATCTAAATGTAGAATTATTAAGAGCAGACACATCAATGTTCCCCGGCAACGAATTCGCATTAATTCTCTTCCTGTTGTCGATACTTTCAATGAATAATGATA